TAGCTCACTTCGGAGAGCGTAGTGCTGACAACACCAAGTCAAGGGTTAGGATCCCCTTACCGTCATCTTAAAAAAAAAAAAAAGTTCAACAGTTTGTACACTCAAACTGATAAATTTTATTGTATGTAAATAGTACCTTAAATGAAAAAGAGAGGAGAAAATGCTGGAAACCAACTCAAATTGTTTTAAACTGGCCGAACTAAACAAAACACATGTTAACCAAGTCTGGCCTGCAGAATACCACTTCATAGCCTCTGTGTTTATTGTAATGACCTGTTCACCTGTCCGTCTCACTCTTTGGGACTATAAATTCTTGAAGGCCTGATACACTTCCTACCAAAGTTTCTGACAAAGTAGTTAATTAATCAGTTGTACCCTTGTCCTGTCATTTACATTGTTAGCTTTGCAGACTCAGGCAAGTTACTAACCTCTCTGAGCTTTTGGGCTTTTGTTGGTAAAAAAAAGGGCTAATACCTCCTCCACAGATCTGAAGTGAAGATTAACACACCATGCTTCATAAAATGTACCATCACCACCATTTCAAGAGCAAGTAGTCTCATGTCAACTGCCAAGGTAAACTCAGAAAACCTCCATTTATGGTTAAGGAACTTAATATCTGTAGAAAAAATATGGTTAGAAAAATGAAAGTCAGTGGTCCAAAGAAAACCTTTACATTTAAAGTCCACTAAAATAAATCAAGACCATAACCTTTTATACTGATTACATTAATAAGAATGCGCTGTTAATGACAATTTACCTCAGATCCTGAGAAAATTTCCTGGGATGATATCCCCATGGTTAACACAGGACCCTGCACAGAGTTTAAGCTCAAAGTTTGTTCAGTGAATAAGTGTTGGGATGTGTGGCTGGTGATTAAAGGATGCCATTAGCAGTGAAGGTGATGTTGGGGTAACAAGGGTGGGACAGCAAGATATGAACTGTTACTCCATAGCCTCTGGATCCTCTTTGTCCTTCAATTCAGGCACCTTTACTCTTTCCAGATTCGATGCCTAGTTTAGATTCCAAAGGTCAAATTTTGGACTGGCTGGTTATCTCAGTTGGTTAGAGTATGGTGTTACAACACCAAGGTCAAAGGTTTGGATCCTTGTACTGGCCAGCTACCAAAAAAACCCAAACACAAAAATCCAATTCTACAACAGCAGCTTTAAGCAGATTCTACAGATATATCAAGGGTCTTAGTGCCACTGTTTGAGGGTCCAGGGTCTTCTTCTGGAGGCTTCTTATCCTCTATCTTCTCCGTATCGAATTCAGATTCAGACTCAGNACTTCAGGCTCCATGGATAAAACAATTATGAAACCAATCCAAAAAAGTAGTGGCGGTTACTCATACCTTGGGGTGTGATTGCCAGAAAACGGGAATGTGCCTTTTATCTTTCTGCAAAAGACAAATGGGATTACTGTCTTTGTAAACCAGTAGTGTTTTTATCATTTTGTCACCTGAGGCATTACCACAAAATAATGAGGGAAATCTTGTTCCTACCTTTCTCTAAACTTCCCAGATTTCTGTTTTTCACTAAAAGTACGCTCAGATATGCACTTTCATAACAGGCTTATCTCCTTGGTGTTCAAGACCTGTGGAGGCACATAGTCTCCAGCTCTCATCAGTCTCTGGGACTGCTTGGAACACTTGGGTGCAGATTCCACATTTAACGGTCCTTCCTCTCCCATCAACCACGCAGACAGTAGCGATTTTCAAACTTCTCAAACCATCCCCTGCCTGCTTGAAACGTATCTAGGTCGCCCTCCCCCGAGGTTTCCACCAGTTGCTTGTAGATGTGTTCGGCTTGGTTGCAAACGGCCTTCTGCGTCATCTCCCGCCCCCCACGGTCTGCTCCTCCACCCAAAAGTACTGAGTCTCCAGCTTCTCGATGTTGACATCACGGGGAACGTACAGCATCTTGGAAGACAGGAGCGACACACGCTCCACGCTGGCCCGAATGGCCTTCTCGTTTTTCTTAAGGGAGAGCACGGTCAACTAAACACAAAAAAGGCGCCCTACGGAGCAATACTCACGCCTTCGTCCTGCTTCTGGAGAACTTTCATCCAACTTCAGGCTCCATGGATAAAACAATTATGAAACCAATCCAAAAAAGTAGTGGCGGTTACTGATACCTTGGGGTATGATCGTCAGAAAACGGGAATGTGCCTTTTATCTTTTTGCAAAAGACAAATGGGATTACTGTCTTTGTAAACCAGTAGTGTTTTTATCATTTTGTCACCTGAGGCCTTAGCACAAAATAATGAGGGAAATCTTGTTCCTACCTTTCTCTAAACTTCCCAGATTTCTGTTTTTCACTAAAAGTACGCTCAGATATGCACTTTCATAACAGGCTTATCTCCTTGGTGTTCAAGACCTGTGGAGGGACATAGTCTCCAGCTCTTATCAGTCTCTGGGACTGCTTGGAACACTTGGGTGCAGATTCCACATTTAACGGTCCTTCCTCTCCCATCAAGCACGCAGACAGTAGCGATTTTCAAACTTCTCAAACCATCCCCTGCCTGCTTGAAACGTATCTAGGTCGCCCTCCCCCGAGGTTTCCACCAGTTGCTTGTAGATGTGTTCGGCTTGGTTGCAAACGGCCTTCTTCGTCATCTCCCGCCCCCCACGGTCTGCTCCTCCACCCAAAAGTACTGAGTCTCCAGCTTCTCGATGCTGACATCACGGGGAACGTACAGCATCTTGGAAGACAGGAGCGACACACGCTCCACGCTGGCCCGAATGGCCTTCTCGTTTTTCTTAAGGGAGAGCACGGTCAACTAAACACCAAAAAGGCGCCCTACGGAGCAATACTCACGCCTTCGTCCTGCTTCTGGAGAACTTTCATCCTGTCTTCCAGAAAGATGACACTCCGTCTCCTCTTGGTCCCTCCAGGACCTCCGCTCCGCCGGGGGCACCTGCCGGGAGCCTGGCTTTGGCCCGGGGAGGCCGCCGGCGAGGCCGTGGAGCTGCCGCTCGGTGGTCATCCCCGCCGTTCCGCTTGCCGAGCGTTTGGTGAGGTTTAGCCTCCGCAGTAGATAGGCAAACCTACTGGAAAATTGGACTGTGTGGCCAACTGAGCCTTGCTGCAGATGACGCCAGACCGAGCCCCGCAACCAGTGACACCCGTGACGCGGCTCTGACGTACCCTGTCTCGCGAGGATGGGCAGCCGCCTCGCGTTTCTATTGGTGGGCCCCCAGGTAGCGATGGCTGCCGGAAGCTGGGTCAGGGAGGCTGCACTCCGCAGATCTCGCGAGACTCGGAGAAGCGCCCTCCGAGCCGGGCGGCGGCGAGCCCCAGCGGGCGGGAGCAAGATGGCGGCGCAAGCGCTGGCGCTGCTGAGGGAGGTGGCACGGCTGGAAGCGCCGCTCGAGGAGCTGCGCGCGCTGCAGTCGGTGCTGCAGGCCGTGCCGCTCAGCGAGCTGCGAGAGCGAGCGGCGGAGCTGCGTCTCGGCCCGCTTTTCTCGCTGCTCAATGAGAACCATCGGTGAGAGAACCCCGGGGCTTGAGCCGGGAGAGGGGCACCCTCAAGTATGAAGACGGGGTTCTGTTGGGGCTGGGGGAGTGATGTTCCCAGTCACAGGGGTGGTAGAAAATAGCCGAAAAGGCAGAGGGAAGGACCCTGGACTGAGAGGGAAGAGATGGGGTTCAAGTCCAGCTTCTGAAGGGGGCCCCTGGGTAAGTTTTCTCCAGCCGCCCGGCCTCACTGCCTTCTCCTGGAAATAGGAATTGGAAGAGGAAGCAAGGTTGCCTACCTGCTTCTCAGCCATCAGTACACATTCTTTTACCTCCTCTTCAAAAGGGATCCTATTCTGGCAATGTGGCAAAATCCATCAACATCTTAAATTCACATCCTAAATATTTTCTCTAATTCTGTAGGTTTTCTTTTCACTCTTCTTTGCTTCCTATGCTATGCAGAAGCCTTGATGTACTCTCATTTGATATACTCTCATTTGTCTATTTTTGCTTTTGTTGCCTGTGCTTTGAGGTCTTATCCAAGAAAATGGTTGCCCAGACCAGTATTATGATATGTTTTACCAAATGTTTTATTCTGGTAGTTTCATGTCCTACATTCAAGTCTTTAATGCATTTTGAGTTGATTTTTGTATGTGGGGCAAGATAGGGGCCTAGTTTTATTCTTCTGCACGTAGATATCCACTTTTCCCAGCACTGTTTATTGTGAAGACTGTCCTTTCCCCAGTGTGTGTGCTCGGTGCCTTTGCTGAAGATCAGTTGGCTGCAAAGGGGGGGTGGGGGGGGGGCTGGATTCTCTATTCTGTTCTATTGGTCTGTGTGTCTGTTTTTATGCCAGTACCATGCTGTTTTGGTTACTATTGCTTTGTAGTGTGTTTTGAAGTCACGTAGTGTGATGCCTCCAACTTTGTTCTTTTTGCTTAAGAATGCTTTGGCTCTCTTTTCTGAATCTTATAGGGTTCCATGTGCATTTTAGGATTATTTTATTTCTGTAAGGAATGTCATTGGTATTTTGATGGGGATTTCATTGAATCTGTAGATGGCTTTGGGTAGTATGGACATTTTAATGGCATTAATTCTTCCAATCTATGAATATAGGATATCATTTTATTTTCTTTCATCAGTGTTTTGAAGTTTTCATCATAGAGATCTTTCACCTCCTTGGTTAAATTTATTCCTAAATATTTTACTTTTTTGGTAGCTATTTTGAATGGGACTACTTTCTTGATTTCTTTTTTAGATAGTTCACTATTTTTTTTTTTTTTTGTCTTTTTCGTGACCGGTAAGGGGATCGCAACCCTTGGCTTGGTGTCATCCGCGCCGCGCTCAGCCAGTGAGCGCACCGGCCATCCCTATATAGGATCCAAACCCGCGGCGGGAGCGTCGCTGCACTCCCAGCGCCGCACTCTCCCAAGTGCGCCACGGGGTCGGCCCAGATAGTTCACTATTGGTGTATAGACATGCTAATGATTTTTGCCTGTTGATTTTGTATCCTGCAACTTTACTGAATTTATTAATCCTAACAATTTTTGGTGAAGTCTTCAGGGTTTTCTACATGTAAGATCATGTCATCTGCAAATAAGGACAGTATGACTTCCTTTTTTTCTACTTGGATGCCCTTTATTTCTTTCTCTTGCCTAATTGCTTTGGCTAGGACTTCTAGTACCATATTGAAGAAAAATGGCGAATGTGAGTATCCCTGCCATGTTCCAGATTTTAGCTGAAAAGCTTTCAACTGTTCTTTGTTCAGTATGATGTTTTAGCTGTGAGTTTGTCATATATGGACTTTATTGTGTTGAGGTATGTTCCTTCTATACCTAATTGGTTGAGTTTTTATCATGATGGGATGTTGAATTTTATCAAATGTTTCTTCTGCATCTATTGAGATGATCATATGGTTTTTGTCCTTTATTTTGTTAATGTGATGTGTGATGTTTATTGATTTCTGTATATTGAACCATTCTTGTATCCCTGGGATGAATCCCACTTGATCATGGTGAAAAATCTTTTTGCTGTGCTGTTGGATTTGGTTAGCTAGAATTTTGTTGAGGATTTTTGCATCTGTGTTCATCAGGGATACCGGCCTGTATTTTTGTCGTTGTATCTTCGTTCTGTTTTGGTATCAGAGTAATGCTGACTTTGTAGAATGAGTTAGAAGAATTCCCCCCACTTCAATTTTTTTTTGGGGGTGGGGTGGCTAGCTGGTATGGGGAACTGAACCCTTGATCTTTGTGTTGCAAGACAACACTCTAATCAGCTGAACTAACTGGTCAGCCAACACTTCGGTTTTCAAGAAAATAGTTAAAAGAGTGAAGAGACAGAATGAGAGAAAATATTTGCAAACTGTGCACCTGATGAGCGGTTAATAGCCAGAATATATAAGGAAGTCAAAGAACTGAATAGCAAAGAAACAAATAATCTGATTAAAACATGGGTAAAAGATTTGAATAGACAATTCTCAAAAGAAGACACGCAAATGGCCAACAAATATATGAAAAAATGCTCAACATCACTAATTATCAGAGAAATGCAAGTCAAAACCACAATGAGATATTATCTCACCCCAGGTAAAATGGCTATTATCAAAAAACCAAAAAATATCAAATGCTGGTGAAGCTGTGGAGAAAGGGAAACACTTTAACACTGTTGATGGGAATGTAAAATAGTACAGCCACAATGGGAAACATTATGGGGTTTCCTCAAAAAATTAAAAATAGAAATACCATATGATTTAGCAGTCCCACTACTGGGTATATATACAAAGGAAATGAAATCAGTATGTCAAAGAGATATGTGCATACCCATGTTTATTGCAGCACTATTCACAATAGCCAAGATATGAAATCGACCTGTGTCCATTAACTGATGAGTGGATGAAGAAAATGTGGTATATTTAACAGTGGAATATTATTTGGTCCTAAAAAAAGAATGAAATCCTGTCATTTGCAGCAACATGGATGAACCTAGAGGATATTATGTTAAGTGAAATAAGCAAGGCACAGTGCTGGAGACCAGCTCCGCAGGATTCGTTGGACCTGTACTAGGTCGTGTGGCGTCGGCGAGGAAAGAAAGAGACGGACCACAGATGTCTAGTGCAAGTGTGGACAACAACCACAAAAATCTTGCTTTATTTATATGTTTTTACCTAATCTTTTACACATTGGTTTATCTTTTAATCAAAACATTTTTTATTTTGTTTCTATTGACTTTTTCAGTAGAAAGGTCAAAACGTTCCAAGGCACTCATGTTGTGACAAGAACACCTACTCATGCACCAATAGTTCACCCCAAAGCCTGTGGCTTGTGGCCAGGAAACTATACAATAGCAGCATGCTTGGCATTAGAGAGCGTCAGACTTTTGGTCTGAATCACAATTCTTGACCTTTTAAACTTACACAAACTTATATTTTAAATTCTTATAAAATCTTATGTTTAACAATTTAATGTCTTATGTTTATATTTATTATTTTAATTTATGACCAAAATCACAATATATACAAGATGATTTTATGTAATAAAACTTAATTATAATGTTCTATTATATTTTATACTACTATTAAAAACAATTATACGATAAACTAATCTAAACAAAATCTATTAATATCAAAAACCTTTTTATATATTTTTATTATTTTAGCTATTCATCTTTATAGTAAAACTTTCTAATTTTTTTACCAATTGACTCTAGGAACAGTACAAGGAACAAAGTGAAAAATTAAATGATCCTATTCAAACTAACAAAAACGCAATATATCATTCTTATTATTACTAGGGAAACAGCATGTACTTGGCAAATCAAATGAAACTGTGGGAATGGGGAGAAACAAAGAAATCTGTAACTGGTTGATGATCAATTAGTTATAAACATTACTGCACTCAGACCCACCATCTCCCTGGGGGAATGTAAATAGAAACCTAACATAATAGCTTCATTCCACAGGTACAAGAGCATGACCATAGCCACAATGGGTCCATGCGCACATCACTTACAAGGAAGATTAATGACAAAATTAAGTGGAGCCAACCCATACCAGGAACATGCCTCACCTACACCTTTAGTACTGACAGTGCCCTTTAAATAAACCAGTTAATTTTGATGTATTTTAACATGTCCTTTGAGAAACTCCAGGGAATTTCCCAAAGCCATACTAAGCCAAAAGGTTAGGCTGTTTAATTCCAGGAAGCCTCGTCAAGGAACCAAAGGTGAACAAACAAGAACTTCCATGGAGCCGTACCACACACGCCGTACCACACACATGGGACCCCCTTGTAGCCTGCAAAACAAGGGGTATCGCTCCTCAGCCTCCCATGCCGTTCCCTATAGCAGGACAGCTCACGGCAGCACAGAGAGACAGATACTACATAATCTCACTCATATGTGGAATCTAAAAAAGTGCATCTCAGAAGGAGAGTGGTTACAAGAGGCTGAGAAGTTGGGAGAGATGGTGATGGGAAGAGATTGGTCAGTGGGTGCAGAGTTATAGTTAGGAGGAATAAGTTCTAGTGTTTCATTTCACAGTAGGGTGACTGTGGTTAACAATAATGTTTATTTCAAAATAGCTAGAAGAGAGGACTTTATGTTCTCACCACAAAAAAATGGTAAGTGTCTGAGGTGATGGATATGCTAATTATCATAATTTGATCATTATACATTGTGTGCCCATATCAAAACATCACACTGTACCCCATAAATATGTACAATTATTATGTGTCAACTAAATATAAATAAATAAGTTCACCTTCCTTTTGACCCAGTCATTCTTGTTACAGGAATTTAACAATGCAGGTATACTTGCACAAAATATACTGTACATACAGAAACATTTATAAAGATGGTATGTAACAGCAAAAGACTATAGACACAACCTAAATATTCATTAAAAGGGGATTCTAAATAAATTATGAGTTATTATTGCTGTAACACCATTCAGCTATCTAAGATTTTGAGGTAGATGTCTATATATGGGCATGGAAAGATCTCTGGTATATGTTGTTGAATGAAAAAAAATTGCAAAAGTTTATGATCCCATTAAGTGTGGATTTTTAAAAAAATTATGATCCCCCACCCCAGAACATACCCAAGCAGGCTCATATAACACTGGGAATATCTGCAGAGATACAGCAGAAACTGTTAATATGGAACTTAAAATGGTAGGACAACAATTTGTACTTTTGATTTTGTATGCATCTGTAGTGTTTGACTTAAAACACTTTGTATTTGATAATTTGATCATTTATAAGAGTTTAAAATGTGATCCATAAATTTCAGCGTCCTTTCTATTTGGAAAGATAATGAACTGTTGGATCAACGTGGGATGATTTCACAGGGCTTTCTTGGCTCTGATAGTCTAAGCTTCATCCCTTTCTTATAAATGTTCTCTCTTTGTTCCATTCACTAGTTAACATTATTCAGATCTGCCTATGATCTTATTTGTCCTCTCTTTAATTCAGGCCTTCCTTCTCTCCCTGTTGCTAGGTCTGTTGTATTAGTCTGACTTCTCATTACCTGTAATCTTTCTTTTCTAGCGAGTCCTTCCCATTCTGCAACCATAGGGAACTTCTCAGGTCAGTTGGCTGAAGTCACTTTCATGGTTTCCCATTGCCAACGGTGTAAAATCATGACGACTTATTCTGAAATTTGGGCTTCTTATAGTATGTTTCCATCCTACTTTTCCAGCCTCATCTTTTTTCTCCATTTCGTTTATATTCTATCTGCTCCAGCTACCTTGTGGCCCCACTTACTTTCCCTTGAGTGTGACTTGCACTTTCCTAACTTTATTTATACCAGTTCTTCTAACTGAAACACCCTGCTCTCTCTCCATAATGTATCTATCCTCTAATGCCCAGCTGAAGCACTGTCACCTCCAAAAAGTCTTTCTCAATTAATTCAGTTGCAAGTGAGTGCTCCTCAGATCTCCCAAGAGACATTATTATTTCTGTTAATGATACTTGATACTATTGTCTTATAGTTCTGTGTGTGTTTACTTTTAGTTTGTAAATTTTTTAAAGGCAAGGGCCATATTTTGCTCATATCTGCATCCCTCCTAGGGTCCAGCACGTAATATCATATATGCGCAATAAAAGATGAGACACAGAGTTTAGAGAGGCCAACTAGTGCAACTCTTTGAATTATAGATGAAGAGACTTTCAAAGGTCCTACCGCAAGTTTATAACACAGATGCAAAAGGAAATGAAGTGAAAGGTAGTTTGAGGAATAAGGTCCATGGAGAAGATTGTTTGCTGAATGAAGGAGCAGTGCTGTAGGAAACAATTTTAAGCAAAATTTGAAGAGGATAATTCAGAACTGGATACATAATAGATACCAATTGCAATTTGTGGGACTGGTTCTTCTCTGGAATACTATACTGGCAGTCTTCAGATATATTGCTGTTATCCTGGCTAAATCACACAGGTTTTTTATATATTGGTTCAGGCTCTGATCTTGTAGATATAAATCTAGAATCTTGACAGGTGCTTGTGTGAGGGAAAGTAAGGCCTAAGTTTTTTGTTTTTCTTTTTTTAAGTGTGAAACAAGATCATGCTTTAATTTTGTGAGGCAGCAAATCTTACAGTAAAACAGAATTCTGATCTTATTCAAGGTAGCTAAAAGATAGATGGGTTTTTATTTAAGCCCTACAGATACAAGTTACTGTTAAAATATGTATTTTCTGTTAATGAATTGGGGTCTTAGGACACCTTCAAATGATCATTTTATTTACATCTCAAAAGAACTCAGGTGTTATATAGAGCAGTAATTAAGCTTAATAACTCCCTAAAACTATTAAAATCACACTCCTAAAGTAAATATTTTTAATGTTTCCCAATATGCTTCTCGATGTAAATAAAAGCTGGTAAATCCATGATTGTGCCACAAACTTGTGCCTCCTGTGAGTCACTTCACCTATCTGGCTTCAGAGTAAGTCATAAGATTACTGCTTTGCAACATGGGAATCAAATGAGATTGACTATAAGTGAACTTATTGGCTTGTTGGTATCAGAAGGCCATTATGATCTGAAATTTGTGCACTATGCAGTTTTACCTACCACTATTTTAAAAATAAAATAAAATTTAAAAACAGTTTTATTGAGGTATAATTTAAATAAAATAAACTACACATAATAAAATATACAATTTGGGTTGTCCAGTGTGCTCACTTGGTTAGGTCATGGTGTTGATAACACAAAGATCAAGGGTTCGCATCCCCATACCAGTCAGCCTCCAAAAAAATAAAAATAAAATGTACAATTTGACAAGTTTTGACATTTGCCAGTCCCTGGCAACCAGGAATTTACTTTCTGTTTCCATGGATTTGTCTGTTCTGTACATTTCATATACAGTTGACCCTTGAACAATATGGGTTTGAACTGCACGGGTCTACTTATATGCAGATTCTTTTTAAATATTGAAAAATTTTTGGTTAGGTGTGTCATTACTGTGTGACATAGCTAATCCAAAAATTAGGTAGCCTACCTAATACTACGCTATTAGTAGTTAAGTAAAGTACTGGAATTATCAAAAGGATGCCTTTTGCATATGGCTTCTTTCATTTATCATAATATTTTCAAGGTTCATTCATGTTGTAGCATGTATCAGTATCTCATTTCTTTTAATGGCTGAATAATATTTCATTGTATGGATATACCACATTGTATTTATACCTTCATCAGTTGGTGGTCATTTGGATTGTTTCCACTGCTTTGAACATTCATGTACAAGTTTTTGAGTGAACATATGTTTTCAATTATCTTGCGTAAAAACATTCGTAATTACTCCCTTAGGCTCAGTTATGCAAAGTGAAATCCCTAAGTTAAAGGGGTATGTTCATTTTTAAGGCTTTTGATTTGTATTGCTTAATCACCTTCTAGAAAGGTTGTATCAGTTTAATTGTATACTCCCATTAGCAGTATATTAGCCCATTTATTTGTACTATCTATTAAAGACAAGGAAATTGTTCTCAGAACACCTTTTGTATTTGTAATTGGTAGTCATCAAGTTCTGATTAATTTACCTCTTTAGTAGCTTTTGAATTTTTTCCCTCTTCTCCATCCCCACTGCTTCTCCTGGTTCACTTCATCATCTCTCACCATTAACTGCCTTCTGACTGAAAATTTCCTCTCTAGCACAGATGCAGAGTGATTGCTATAAGGCAGATGTCATCATGTTACTTCTCTGTTTAAAATTACTTCATGGCTTACTGTTGCTTTTCTGGAAAAATCTAAATTCCAAGCATGACATAAAAGACCTGTCAGAATCTGGTTTCTGTGCATCTTTCGAGTTTCATTGCCTGCCATTCCTTTCACCCTTTTACCTTCTCCCCACCTCTTCCCCATTGTGACCCCAGTCATAACAAGCTACTCATTGTTCCTTGAAAGTATAGCACTATGTCTTATTCCTCTGTGCCTTTTTTTTTTTTTTTCCTTTTTGTCTTTTTTCGGGACCGGCAACGGATCGCAACCCTCAGTGTCACGCCCGTACCGGACCGGGACCGGCAATGGGATCGCATCCCTCGGTGTTGCTCCCACACCCCGCTCAGCCAGTGAGCGGCCGGTCTGTATGTGGGATCCGAACCCTCGGCGGGAGCGGCAAGCAGCACACTGTAGGAGTGCGCCACCGGGCCAGCCCCCTCTGTGCCTTTTTTTTTTTTCCTTTTTGTCTTTTTTCGGGACCGGCAACGGATCGCAACCCTCAGTGTCACGCCCGTACCGGACCGGGACCGGCAATGGGATCGCATCCCTCGGTGTTGCTCCCACACCCCGCTCAGCCAGTGAGCGGCCGGTCTGTATGTGGGATCCGAACCCTCGGCGGGAGCGGCAAGCAGCACACTGTAGCAGTGCGCCACCGGGCCAGCCCCCTCTGTGCCTTTTTATGTGCTGCTGCTCTCTCTGCCTGGAACACCTTTCTTCTGGATAGCTCCTACTTTTTCTTAAAATTTAGTTCAGGTGTTACCCCTTTGGGACACCTTCTCTGTACTTTGTGTTCCTTTTTTAAGCTCCCATGGCTTCTAGCCCTAACCTATAACATTTATCTACTTGGATTACAGTTGCCTTTTTTATTTTTCTGTATCTTCCATTAGACTGAGTTCCTTGAGGCTAGAGAATATATCTTATCCTTTGTAGTCCCAGCACAGGCATGGCACATGATAGGTACTTAGCAAAATAAGTGAGTAGAAGCTTATTAATAAATGAGTAGAAGTTTCTGTTTCAAAGAGAAGTCTATGTGGAGGAGATCCTCACTGAACCAAGCTTTAGCTATTGTAAGGTTGTTACTACTCATCTGATAGGATGTGAACTAATGAGATCTATGGTTTTCTCTTTTAGGGAACAGACTACTCTGTGTGTGTCCATTCTGGAGAGATTGCTCCAAGCTGTGGAGCCAGTTCATGTGGCCCGGAACCTCAAGGTTGACCTGCAGAGGGGACTGACTCACCCTGATGATTCTGTAAAAATCCTTACTCTGTCTCAGGTATGAAATATTACTAGCATATATAAGAAGGAACCAACATTGATCACCTACTCTGTGCCAGGTTCTTTGCTAGGTACCAAAGACAGAGAAATGAAAAACACAATCTCTCTTTGTCTTTATGGAGTGTCTATTCTAGTGTGCATAGCTAACTATAACCTGGGAGATACAAGTTGAAGTAAGAAGTTCCATACTATCTGAATCATTTATTCATGAATTACTAAGTTCCTTTTACATGGCAGGGGTATTAGTCCATTTCTGTGGCTTGTAACAAAATGCATGGAAATGGGTGATTTATAAAGAAAAATGAAATCTATTGCTTACAGTTTCTGAGGCTGGGAAGTCCAAAGTCCAGGGAACAGAGCTAGTGAAGGTTTTGGTGGCAACAGTGATGGCAGGATATCACATTGTGAAAATGGCGGAGCAGAGAGAGCAGAGAGTAACCTCCTCAATCACTCTCTTTTTAAAGCCCTCAGAACCACACCCCTGACCACCATACTGCATGGTCGTATAATCCAATCATCTCTTCAAGGCTCCACCTTTTAATTGCCATATAGGATTTCCTACCCTCTTAACAGTCACAGTGGGAGCTAAGTTTCTAATACATAAAACTTGGGGGACACAACTCAAGCTTCAGTGAGTTTTGGGGAGACATAATTCAGTCCACTACAGCAGGCACTGTGACATATGCAGCTGTAGTTACCAGCTAAATAAAACCAATTTTTTCCCTTCAAGGAACTCCTAGTCTAGAGAGAAAGATCTCCATGTGTTCAAACAGCTACTCTGCCATGTTAGGTCCTATTAAAGTGGCATGAACCAAGGACTATTGTAAAGGTCACTAAACCAACAAATTAAGACAGTAACATCATTCTGATAACCAAACATCCTACTATTTGAGTGAAGAGTTGCTGCTAAGGATCATCTTGTTGAAATGTTAGGAGCTAAGCAGTTAGTTATCCAGTAGATTCTCAACTACTGCTTTTCCTTTTCTCCTCTGAAGTGTTTATTCAATAAACAGGGAAGCTATCGATTTTTTCATTGACCATTTATGTGCCGTTCTACTGTGCTTTTCCTGTTCGTTCTCATTTAATCTTCATAACTGTCCCAGAATTAAGTATTATATTCCCATTTTACAGATAAGAAATTAGGCTCAAAGAAATTATTTAATTTGCCCAAGGTCAGTGTGGCTAAAAATGGACAGAAATGGGATTCATTCCCTAAGCTATCTCAGCTCTTTACCCATTGTTGTTGTTTTTGTTTTTGTTTTTGTTTTTTTTCTTTTTCTTTCCAATATGTGACTACACTGTATGTGTGTTTGGTTTTAATAAATTTGGGTCATTTTGGATTTTTAATAACTTGTAGCTGTAATCACTAACTTCTAAAATAACTGCACACTGGATATTTGACTACCATGTGTTCATATGTTGCCCTGTGTTAGGAGAGTGTTTCTGATTGTTTTTTTCTCTCAGGTAGGAAGAATTGTTGAAAATTCTGATGCTGTTACTGAGATTCTAAATAATGCTGAATTACTACAACAAATCATTTATTGCATTGGTGGAGAGAATCTGTCTGTAGCTAAAGCGGTAAGTCTACTAGAACCATCAACTTAAACATGCAGAGCTATTAGTGTCCTACATGACACTAATGAATTGAGAGGTGAAGATTTAGAATGGATGATTTGTGTAATTGAATTTGCAATATCACGTGGACAGTATCAAATAAATAAATGGTTGTCAGATAAATACTAGTAAACCCCTTCTATTTTCTATTATGCACATATATCTACAGTATACATCATAGGCCTTATACTGGGTTGCTTGATAAGAAGCAAAACTTACATAATCTATATTCTATTGGGAATATCGTGTATCTTTTCCAATTATAAATAACAAAACATAGTGAATGCTCACTGGGCAAGGTACATTTCATGCACTAATTTCCACATCATTCTTATGAAGTTTATATCAATATTCTATATTTTTGTGGCTATTATGTTTTTGTGACTTAAGAGATATTTCATTTCTTATAAGGCCATCAAATCCCTGTCAAGAATATCACTAACCCAAGCTGGACTGGAGGCTTTATTTGAAAGTAATCTGCTGGATGATTTGAAAAGTGTTATGAAAACAAATGACATTGTTCGATACAGAGTGTATGAGGTAAGACTAAAAACACACTTTCTGGGGCTGGCCCGTGGCTCACTTGGGTGAGTGTGGTTCTGATAATGCCAAGGCCACAGGTTCGGATCCCATATAGGGATGGCCGGTTAGCTCACTGGGTGAGCGTGGTGCTGACAACACCAAGTCAAGGGTTAAGATCCCCTTACCGGTCATCTTTTAAAAAAAAAAAACACACTCTCTGATGTTTACAAAGCAGAATACAGTAAGGCTTACACTGGAAGACAAGATGGCTTATATAATGTGTATTTATTGAGTATGTAGTATGTGTTAGGCCCTATACTAGGTGCTAATATAGGGATGTGTTCCCACCTACTGTGTGAGACAGTCATATAAAAATTATTTACAGTGTAGTATAAGTACTATATTGAGGAGATACCATTGAAACCAGACTTTAAAGAGATTAGTAGTAGTAATAAAAAGAAGAAATGGCTCTTATTTACACCGGCTTTGTACTGAGCACTATGCTAAAATCTTCACATGTGTTGTCTTTAATTCTCACAGTAAAACTTGTATGTTATCATCGTTAACCTCACTATTGATGAAGTAACTGACCCAAGACCACACACTTTAATAGGTTGCGTATTCAAATGGAACCCTCTGCAGTCCAATTTCCTCTTCAGAGCACTTACTTTGCATGTCTTGATACCACACTACCCTTCTGCTTCTCTGTCTCTTCTCAGTCTCTTGGCTCATTATCCTCTTTTGGACCTTTAATTGTTGGAGTTCATGAAGGTGAAGTCCCAAGCCCTGCTCTCACTCTTCTCTGTACTCATTCCTAGGCAGTTCATCTTAGGATCTCAGTTCCCCCCACGTGATGATTCTCAAACGTAAACTTCCAACCCAGAAATTCTCTTTTGAGCTCAGATCTTCATATTCAACTGCTTACTCGCTTACTCACTCTCAGCCTCTTGGACATATTCTAGGCCGCTCAAACTCATGCTCAAACCAAATTCCTGATCTTCATCATCTACCCTGTGCCCCTGATTTAAAAAAAAAAAAAAAAAAAAAACAACAATAAAACGGCCCCCCCTCTGAGTCTACA